GTTGAGTCGGGTGTGTCTTACCCTCCATGGCAGAGGCTCCATCGAACCCCTGAGACTGATTCACCAAACCCCCAGGGTTTGATCAAACCCAGGTTAAGAACCACTGAATCAGAGACTTTCCCATCATGCTTTGTTGCTTGTTACATCTCAGACATGTGACTGTGTCATGCATGCCCCTTTAATGTGTTATTTTGTACAGAGGGCGGTGAACTATAGAGTGCTGTTGTTTCTAGTGGTGTATTAAATTATCGCTACTTTTGGTATTAAACTATTGCAACTTGGTGAAACCCTTGGTAACAAAGGTGGTGCAGTCAGTGCTATATCTACTGTGGATATTATAATGGCTTGCAAGTATGTTACTAGTATGATAAGAGACTTGTTGGATTCGTTGTATTATATTTGCTGATTTCAAAACGGATCCGCAGGCTGGAGGAAACGAACATGCGTGTTGGAGTCGTGTCCTTGCGCAGTTTATATCGCACACCCGCCCAGCAGGAATTCGCCAGAATGTCCCGATTACTCCCTCCAGGACTGTTGTTGAAGGAACTCAAAGCAAAGCATATAGAGAACATGCTATCCCATACAGAAAAGTCCCACGTCAGAACTGGTGTAAACCATCTCAACTCTTAAGCTGTTAAGTTTGTGGTGGTGAAAGTGATGCTTCTGGTTTTGAGAGACACACTCAGTCAGTGAAACCTCATCTCATCTGTTCTTTGCCAAGGATTCGCAGTAGCCCTCCTGCTCAAAACAACCTTCTCTCATGCGTGTCAATCAGTTGACAGCTTTCTTCCAATGGATCGAGTATTTTTTTAATTCACATTTGAACCCTTTCATGCACCCTGTAACCTGATAACATGATCAGCTGTCCACTGTAGTAATCGCTGTCCCTGAAAGGGTTAAACTGCATTTCATCTTTGATTGATATCTGAACAATTTACTGATGAACAGCAACACGGAGGCTACAAATGAAGAACAAAAATGAACATTTCAAGCAGCCTCACAACTGTAGCTCCAATAGTATCGGGGTTCATGGAAATCAGCCATGCAATAGGCCCTGACACCGTTTTTAAGTCATCAACCTAAACACAAATACAAGGGTAATCATGGAAATGACCAAACTAGCGCAGCGAACTACACAAAGAATTGAATGAGAATTCCAAAGTATACAAAGACTGTGCCTGTATGTTGCGGTTTCCTTGGCTACTCTCCTCTCAAGAGTGAAATCCAGTGTTGTCTGACTTGTCCTGATGTCCACACTCTCAGTAATGCCCCCCCCCCCCCACCCCACATTTGCTTGAATGTGGAGGTTTTGATAAAAGTCAAGTTGGGCAGTCAAGGAATTATTAGACTACCCTTTCTTCTTTATTTTCATGCTCATCATAAATGCCTTGTACAGATAACAGTAAATTGTTTGGCCTAATATAATGAAGACAACAAAACTAGTTCATAAGGGTTTTATTTATGTCCTGAAATGTATCCCCTTTTTCCATGGTTTGCTTGCTAAATCACCAAAACCGCGCGCTCACATCATCGGCTATGGCGGTGGGTTGCTGAAAACAGTGCTTCGAGGCATTCCATGTTTTCTTTGCTGTCTATTAGTGACATGATGCGCCTTTACTGGTCTATACATTTATTTCCTTGACTGTTGTCTCAGCCGTTCTATATACAACATCATGTACTGTGCAAAAAAAAAAAAAAAAAAAAAAAAAAACCTATGAAAGCAGCTCTTTTCACTTATGCGCTTTTATTCATGTGAGGCCACACTTGTCAAGTCAGGGGTTACCGCCGTGAAGCCCGCGAGCACCGGGTAGCCTCTTTAGGGCCACACTAGCAGCCCGTGAGTCTCTTCTAAAATAGCTCACCGGTGATGGGATATTGTGATTTTCTAGGAATGTTGTAGATGTCATCATTTTGAAAGTGTCAACACTGGCAGAGATGTACAGAAATGGTGTTGCAAAGGATATTTATCTGTTTCCTAATTATTGTGAGGAATCCTTTACGTGATCACACCGATCACGTAAAGGATTCACATAAATGATTATCGCATATAATCACAGATAAAGGTAATTCGAGCAAATCCAAAAGAATTGTGTACTAAACTGGTAGTCCTTTGCATTCATCGGTACCCAAGGAGTACAGTAGCTCTCAGTTTCAAAATGTTTGGTGGTTTTAGGAGGGGGTGGCCCGCTGGTCGACTGGTTAGTGCGTCGACCTCACAGTGCACAGATGCAGGGTTCGATTCCGGCTCCGGTCTTCTTGTGTGGAGTTTGCATGTTCTCCCCGTGCCTGTGTGGGTTTTCTCCGGGTATTCCGGTTTCCTCCCACATTCCAAAAACATGCATGACAGGCTGATTGAACACTCCAAAAAATGTCTCGAGGTGTGAGTGTGAGCACGGATGGTTGCTCGTCGATGTGTGCACTGCGATTGGCCGGCAACCAGTTCAGGGTGTCCCCCGCCTACTGCCTGAAGACGGCTGGGATAGGCTCCAGCACCCTCCGCGACCCTAGTGAGGATAAAGCGGATCAGAAATATCATATCAGAAAATAGATGGATGGATGGATTTTAGGAGGCCAAAAGTATTTGGACATTTGGAACCATTGTAAATACAACAAACTCTTTTTCACTCAATGACAGCATCAATACTGGAGTTTATGGCCATCACCACATTTTGAGTTTCTTCGCTTGGAGATGCTTTTCCCAGACCATCATGACTTAAGTGGCTGCTTGTTGGTGTGTACTTCAGCCTTCACGTTTGTCTTCATTAACTGGAAAGCCTTCTCAAAAGGGTTGGGATCTTGGCCACCAAAGAATATTCCATTTTTCTCCCCTCAAAAATCTTGTCAGAAAACTGGGTCGCTCCACTAATGCAATGCAAACCCTTTCACTGTTGCCAAGTACTTGTTGTTATTAACCTGTCAAGCAGTACTCAACACAATAGCATGTGCAGCCTGGCTTGCATTTGTGTTTTGGCCAGCAGTAAATGTTGGCTTATCACCAGAATGCCACCTGCTTGCCTAGTTCATTTTTGAATTATTGAGGAATGTTTGGTCCGAGAGAAAGCTAAAGAAAGAGGCGAGTTGAGAGAAAGTGTCAGAGACTTACGAGGAGGGGAAATTGCTCTTGGAAGAAGTACCACAGGTGTTCTCATAGAGTAGGCAATATGCCAAAAGAGCAAGAAAGAATACAGTATGCAGCACTAAGACACATTGAGGCAAATATAGAAGAAATAGGAGCCTCCCACACTGAACTCAACACGGATCAGCAACTCCAGACACTTTATTTATTTAAATGCTGCCGCACACGGGGCCTACTTTGGGTCAGAATAGCAACAGTCGTGGCCGGCTGTACTGACCTACAAACAACTTTGGACTCTCCTATTGAAGCTGCGGGAGGACATACCAATCCCTAAGATTGGGAGATGCCTGAAGTGCAAGACAATTCAATTGGAGAATGAGAAGATGGTAAGGGTGGTCGTTACCACCCCTTGGCCCCTGTAAAACCGCCATGAGTATCCCTTTAAACACTTCAAGGTGCAAGCTAATAATCTTTAGATAGGAGCAGCTGCTTACTGATGCAATAAATTACAATTTACAGACAGATCTGATCGAAAAAATAATCACTGACTTGTCGATTATCAAAATAATTGTCACATCTCAATTTTTGATCGTGACCAAATTAATCTCAATCGTTCATCACTATTTTCTGGTCATTATCGTGTTTAATGCACGCGCACAGGACATACTTGTCACTCGTGTGCAGCACACGGTGTGCAGCTCCTCCCACATGACGATCATGTCAATTAAAACCATCTCAAACCATTTCTTTACAGCAGTTTCTGAGTGTAGCAGTGGGGTGTATGAGACAGCCATACGGTAAGAAGTTCAAGTAAATACAGGGTCAATATAGTGAGTTTTAAAACATTAAGACAAACGGGGCCGAACTCGTTTTGTTGTTCATATCATTCGATATTTATTGGTTATTTTGGCAAATCTTGTTTCAAGAAATAATAGCCTGACTCAATAGAATCTTCATTTTCATTACTGAAAGTGTGTTTTTTAATCATATCTTCGGAACCGAGATATAATGCACGATTCACACTCCGTAACTCGGCTTGAAGATATTTGTATGAACCGGACGGTAAAAATAAATACAGAGAAATCAAATTAGGTGGTTTTATATTACCGATTGCAGTATTGAGTGGAGCAAAAACAAGTATTCTTCTTCTTCTTCTTCTTATTATTGTTATTATTATTATCATTATTATTTTTATCAAGTCAACACGTCCATGATGGTTTTAACGTTGTCTTTAGTTTCTTTGCGTCTGGCACACTCGTCTCCATGCAGCCCAAAATTGTCTTCACGCGTCACCACACGCGACCCTTTTACTCAAATTTACAGTTTTAATCTGCACGAATTACAAATTACGTGTATTCTTGCTCTTAATGACTACATCAGACAATTATTTGTTTCAACTGAGAAAGTGTATTCGGAGTGATTAAGAGCTCGCGCGCGCGCGCGCACACACACACACACACACACACAAACAAACGATAAATTAAAAGGTGGCGGTAGACAATAAACGGTCAGCAGGTGCAGTTCAACACGAAAATAACCCCCCAAAACGTGAGAGGACTGTGGTCTTGTGTCGTCGTATGAAGACGCCAGCTGGTTCTGTGCAAGTCCGCTGGATTTTAAATCAGTGGCACGTTTCAAAGTGACGCGAAGAGGGGGTGGGGGGGATTCACAACAGTGACGTGCCTCGGGCTCCCTGACTCACTGTATATGCACATTTACTGGAATGGCACCGCTGAAGTGAAATTTGTTGAGGCTGTTAAAAAAAATGACAACAATGAATGTAAGTATCCACTTGGAAATCCGGTTAAACGTTTCCATCAGTTTAACATTTAGTGCTAAGCTAAACAGGTATTTTAAAAAAAAAATTCCATTGAAGAAGAGCAGATGAACTAACACTCCTTTTGTCTCTCTGCTGTGGCTGCAGTCGATGCAGTCTTCCGCAGGCCCTCTTTCCCTGTGGCTGAGAACCCAGCAGCACCAGCAGCATGTCCCACGTCTCCTCCACTGCCAAGCGCTATGCTGGCTCGTCCTACACCAGCCACTATAGCTCCTACAGCTCCCCCTTAACCCCAAGCCTTAGCTCCTACAGCGAGCGGAACAGGTTGTCCTCTTACAAGTCCCCTGCCTCCTCTACCTCTTCCTCAGGTTACACCTCTTCCAGCTATCAAAGCAGCTCCACGATCCGCAGCCGCAACTACAGCACTTCCCTGGACGCAGACCGGGGCCGGGTCATCCCACGGACGGACATCCTTGGAAGTAGCAGCAACCGCCGTAGTGAAAGCCTCAGTCGAACCCCTGTCAAGAGCTATGCAGGTTCTGGACTTAGTGGGGGGTCAGCCTACACAACGTACAGTTCTTACTCGTCCCCATCAGTGCAGTCCAGCTACCTCTCCTCTTCACCGGTGGCCTCCAGAATGTCGCTTAATCGACAAAAATCAACATCCCAGAGTGACTTAACCAGGGACTTGGCGGCTCTGGGCCTCAATGACGCCTCCTCCTCGTCTTCCTCCTCCAGCCCGTCTTCCTCCTCCAGCGCCTCGAGGAGCTGTCGCACTCGGACCAGTGAGGTGGCTAATACGTATGGCACTAACTCCTCAGGCGTGCCACGGAACACTACTCAGGAAGCCCCTTCATGGCGCTCCACCAAGGAAGGCTTCAGTAGCAGCAGCAACAGATCACACAATTCCTCAGCGTGGGAGGCAAGTACGAGTGGAGTGTATCCCCCCACGAGGGACTCCACGGTAAGACCACACTCTTTCTTGCACACATTGAAGTGAAATGATCCGTTGTTAATACAGAGGGATTCATGTACAGTAGAATGCCTCAAGTGCTTTGCAGCTGTGTTGTGTACAGCATCTTGAAGAACCACTGAAATAGAACAGACCGCGAAATCACACATTCTCAACTGAATAACACCACTGTAATCGTATGCAAACCGATCATGATTGTTTGAGGCAACATAGAGTAAGTGGTTTGGGACAAATGACCTCTTTACCGTGGATACTTGACCTCGTCTGACCCCATGCGATTACCTGTAGCTAACGTACACCTTCGATGAGCTCGGTCTGTCGGCGTCACCTTTACACTGGCTATTTGTGATCCAAGCTTCAAGGGTGAGAAAGGAAAATGAGGGTGGAGAGTGGGCGAGAGAAAGAGTACATAATACACGACACAGTGATTTAGTTAATTTGCAGAAAAAATATGAGTACAGGGGAACCTCCAACTCCAAACGGCCAGAAGTGATTAAGACTGGAAGTTCAATGAAAAATTTTGGAAAAAAGATGCAAACAAAACATGGGTCATTCCAGAATCGGAGGACATTTTGGCTTCAATGTTCTTGAAAAATAACCCTTCGCTTTTCTGATTATCTGCTATATATTCATCAATAATAGGCAATAAACTATCAAAGGCTCATCTTAAATCAATGGTTCAATTTTTATGACATGATTTATTTGGTGTTTACAAATCCTGTCAAAGTAATCACAGTAGCAGGGTGGAAAATGTGGACAGACGTCAGCTTTCTATCAGGAGTAGAAGGTGGATTTTATCTAATTCTTACCGCTGACCAAGAGGACACATTTACTTAAGCAAATAAGTAAAGGGAATAAAAAGGTATCTCATTCTGATCATACGGATTCCAGGATTGCATGAGATAGAATGAGGCAATCAATCAAGTCTAACTAACGATTTTATAAAAATGTGAAAATAGAAGAGAAAGCATACCTTTGCCCGATCGATACTTTTGGGAAGTTGATGATGTCAAGTCACTGCTTTCCTCTTCTTCTACCGTGCTAAAAAGGTGATGGTAACAGGGTTGTTTGCATGTCGTAGGACACCCGTTCCATGAATTATAATATCCACATATCCATCCATTTTCAACGGCGCTCATCCTGAACAGGGTCACGGGGAGTTGCTGGAGCCTATTCCAGCTGACTCTGGGCGGAAGGCAGACTATACCCTGAACTGATCGACAGTCAGTCACAGGGCACATACGCGGACAAGCAACCATACACAGCTTCATTCACACCGTCACCGAGTGGGAACCGATATGGTGTCCGCACACAAGTCAGGTGACTTGAATACTAATAATTATTGTTTTTTCAAATACTGTATGATGTTCATCATTTCTTTTTTTGTGTTTGTTTTGTTTTGGATTTTTTTAGATTTGGTCTCGGGATGAGTAAATTGTCCTCTGCATGTTTTAGTATTTTGTATGTGGATTATTTAAAATTTACTGGGTGGGATTCAAAATGTCCTAATTTTTCAATAACCCACATGCAGTTCAAATTCATTACCATCCGTTACCACACAGGCGGCTCGTCACCATCTAAAAGAATGCGTGTAATTATAGCCAGGGAACCTAAATTGATATTGGAACATTGAAAAGTGTCTGACTGCTCTGTACAAAAGGAGCAAAACGTTGAGTTGATGGTTAATTGCGCACATATTTTAATTTCAACAAGCGGATGCGACTGTGATGAATAAAATATTAATTCCTGCAATACCTGTAAACGCCACTTGGTGACAGTGTTGCTCTGTGAACACCTCCCTGCTTCCTCACCGTCATATCAGTGTCTTGTTCGGTTTTATAAGGGTGAGTACTGTAGTTTTACTTTACTTTTGTATTTATTGTTGTTTTATTTTTTTAATCCTGCAATTTGGAACAAATGTATTCCCTTTATATATTCCATGGAAATGGGATTTTGAATTAGAACAACTTGAATCAACCATGGACATAAAAACAAATTATGCATCTGTGAACACAATTGTTCTAAAATCTTGAAACTACATCCGTATTACCAAAATTAATCGCTGAACTACCCAGCATGCTCTGGTATTTCAATTTCGAATATATTTGTAATCGTTCATTGAACAGTACTGGCAACTACAGTATGTTAAAGTAATGGACATGTGCTCATCCATAATGAAGGGACCGTTTGCTTCACTGGTTGTGTTTTTGCAGTGATTCTGACTTGTCATTTCAACCATACTGTATGGTACTCTGCAGCCAGGACACAGTCTGATGGTCACACTTTTCTTCTTTGTCATCTGCGTCTTTTTGCGGTGTAATAACCCAAAAAGCATCGACAACTGAATATTGGCGATGATTCACTGGCCAAGTATTTGACATTTTGAGCCATAATATTCAACTTTTGAAGTTTCACTGTTTGCTTTGAACAGCTCTAAAGGTTGATCTAAAATTTGTTTCAATCTTAACAACTCAGCGAGTGGGCCTTGTGAAAAGTGTGTATGAGAGTATGAGAGCCTCTCATACAATATTGTGGAAATTCACCGTGTTGTCGTGGCACTCCTGACTGATGCCTCATGTGATATGCGATGAACTTTTTATACCACTTTTTCAGTTCACAGTCACAGGATGCCGGGATCGATCTGCACTGATCACCAGTTAACGTCAGGGCTGACGCACGGAGAGAAACAAATATTCATCTCTCCATTTTCTTTACCACTCGTCTTCATGGGCTGTTTGCCAACAGGGTACATATAGACCAACAACCATTACAGATTAGATTAGAGTCTTCAATTAACCTGGTGTCCATGGTGTACCTGGCTTTCATCCAAAGTGAGCTGGAATAGGCTCCAGCCCACAAGCAACACTAATGAGAACAAGTGGAAAATGGAAAATGGATGGATGGATGGATGGATAGCTCTTACACACTGGGGCCATTACTTGTGCGATGGGTCACATACTATAACTGCCTTGGTTGCATTGTTGATCATTCCCACTCAACGCTTCGTTTCCTACATTCATGTGACTGATGGTGATTATGATAGATTGCAGAAACTCAACAGTTTAGTGTTGCGGAAAATGTATTTGTTGAATGGTGGGTGCTCCATATTTATAGATGGCGTAGCTGCACTGGTGTGTAAAAACAACAACAACAACAACAAAAACTGCTGCATATTGATTTTCGCGAAAGCCTCATTTTGCTTGTTTGGAAATTTGGCGAAATTTTATGCGCCATGGTGGGCGTTCTGGCATACAAAAAGTGTTTCCATTGACATGCGCGCGGCACACATACCAATTTGATGGCTGAAAGTCGACTAAAATTTAGGCTAGCTAAAACCGCGTCTAACTATTCCCGCCAGTTGGTTAAACAATTTTGGTGGATTTGGAAGGACAGGCAGAGAGAGTCTGTATTCCGCCAACATGTGTGGTCGATGTTGTGTTTCATTCAGAAATGTGACATCGTGCATCCAACCCTCAAAATAATTGTAGAAATCTATTGATTCAACACATTACGAAGGCTGTAACCGGTGGTGTTTTACTCTTGCTGAGTCCTACCAGTATAAAGAATATTTGTCTTAGTCCAAGTTAGCTGGTCAAAGGTCATAAACGGACGTTCATGAACCTACCCTGTTCTTATGTTGCATGATAAAATGCTAACTGTGAAGTTGCACAATTGATACAAGAAACGCTAACTTTAACTCGATATCTGTTTGAAATTCCCCCTCTGAACTTGTTTCTTGACAACAAAATACAAGTGAATTTCAGAAACAAAAACTGTGGATTTTATAAAAAGGAAATAAATTGGTTGGTCGTTATTAAGTGGAAAATATAGTGCTACTGGATGGATATTGACGGTAGTGGTAGTCGTCGTAATGTGGATTTTGTATTGACTGCTGATTTGTTTTGACCAAAACAATAGTTCATCTGAGCACACCATTATATAGAATTTTCATTAGGATACTCAAAGGTCGAAATATTTGACAGCGACAGCTTGACATTCAACCTCCCCATTCCATTGTCATATTTTTATTGTTGAATAAAACTCACGTCCCTGGGACTAACCTGCAAAAACTGCTCCTCAAATGAAATCATCGACAAACAAATTTTCTCCACAAAAAAAAAAAAAAAAATCTAAATATTTCGAGCCCTGAATCATTACTATTACTATCATCTTTATCATGTTTTCAGCATCACCCCCTGGCCGCAGCACAGCTATGGGGGTGAGGCCTATAAGAAGGACACGGACAATCGAGGTGCAAGGCAGTCTCCGAGTGGCCACCTCACAGATCTGTGATCGCCATATGGCCAATTTTACATCATCCGTCCATGGATTCAACTCGTAGCAGATCGAGTTGGCTGTGTTCATGCACGCAATGGAGCTAAACACCTATTTTGAACGCCAATCTGCGTGCATCTGTGAAAAATTCCGAAATCCAGACTCGTCCACCTTCGCGTAAGATTTAAACTATGCCTTGCGCCAGACTTCAAATGGGCACAAAAATAGAGTGCTGAGTTTGTCTTGTCTATAATAGATCTCGTAACATGGAGTTCCATACCAATATGTACATTTAAATTGCAGATGCAATGCAATAATTAAGATTTTAGTATCATCTTTGCTAAATTGGCGCTGCACTAACAAATATCCAGAGGTTTGGCAACCTCAAATTGACCTTAAGGTGAGTTGTCAGTAATGTTTTTTTTAAAATTAGGAGTTTAACCCTTTCAGGGACAGCGGTTACTACAGTGGACAACTTATCATGTTATCTATCAGGTTACAGCACAGGTGTCAAAGTCAAGGCCCGGGGGCCAGATCTGGCCCACCACATCATTTTATGTGGCCCGCAAAAGCAAATCAAGCATGTCAAGTTCCTTGATGCTTGCTAAAGTCTGAACCAAAATGTCAAATTGTCATATGTAATCCACAATAACAGTCATTATTCTTGACTTCTGATCTTAAAACTACTTATTCATCAATTTATTGTGCACTGTGTA